ATTTTTTTTTTATAAAAGATTGGCATTACTATGGGTCGCCCTGGAACTGCCGTTAGGCTTTTTTCAGGTTTTTCCGGGAGGTTTGGCAAAATAACTCACAGAACACAAATAACACAAAAACAAGAACCTAAGGCACTGGATTAAACCAGCGCCTCAGGTCCTCTTGTGCGGGGTAGCGTAGCTGCTTCTGTCTCAGGCGTTCCACTTCCTCCTTCTTTTTCAAGACGGATTCAGCGAACGCCTGAACGAGCTTCCACGCCTTCCGACCTACCAACATCAGGTCCACATGAAAACTATGTTATGAGACACGAAAACCGATTTATGAATATTGAACTTTTTCCTTAGATCACCTTATTTATTTCATATTTAGAGTTATGTTATTGGACAACTGACAGAAGTAAAAAAAATTATCACATAAAATATCCGATTCCTTAATCTAAATTATTTTAATTTTAAATACATAAATTTAAAATGTAAATATTAATTAAAATAAATGTGTAATGGAATTAACTAATTATAAGTGCTATAGTAAAAAGTATACGAAATATTAACATACATTGTCTTATTAAACAATATTTTTTATCAGATAATTATTAAAAATCTTTAAAAACAAAAATTATTTTAATAGTTAATAAAAAACTACAACTAGATTCTTGACACAATTAATATTATAGTAAATGTATTGTGTAATAACTTAGAACAAATTAAAAAGAATTAATTACGAAAGCGCATTTCGTATATGAAATATTACAAGTTCTATAGAACTTATAATTGATTTCAGTTACTTGGTTAGTTTTAAATGTATAAACATATGTATACTTTAATTATTAATTTTAATTCTACTTTCTACTATTTTACTATTATACTATATTCTTTATTTTTCTTGAATTTTTTATATTATAATTAAAATCTTTACTAATAACAATAATTATAATTTTCTTTTCTATCTAATGATTACAGCTATAACAACGAATATTTTATAAAACAAAAATTAACTTTTTAGTAGATTTAATGTTTCCTGTTTTTCTTATGGACATTTTATCATGAATTACATAAAAAAAATAAACCTATAAATATTTGCTACACTTTACATATTTTTTTTTATAAAAGTGTTTATTGTAACCGATACGTCCGGTTAAGGAAAAATTACAGGTTTTTTGTTTTAACTATCATGATTACTATGTGTTTATAGGATAACTGTCAAAATTATAGTAACACTAAACCTACCAGATATTATAATTATAACAATGCCACATCATATTATAATAGAGAGGGCAATTTAAAGGTTAAATTATCAGAACGAAATTTTTGTTCTCATGTTTGTGTAATATTTTTTTATTTAATAACACATCTCGCCAAAAACGGAAATTCAAGAAGCATTTATCATAAATATTCATTGATAACCGTTGCATCCATTGCTACCGTTAGGTGTTGGTTAATTAAAATATTGTTAGTACATTTCTTATTACGCTTCACCTATACTATTATATTAAACGCAATGAAATACACTATGTACTTATGATAACTTCTTTCTGGAACGAATACCACATATATCATTAGATTGTATCTAAAAAGTGCATGAAATAAACGAAATTAAGTCCTTGTCGGCAAGATATTTGTACGTTAATCATGTTCTGATGACGTATATTATATATATTTATATTAGTATAAGTGTTAATTATAATTCAACTAATATATCGAACATTTCTTTTTATAATGTTAAAAATAAGTAAATCTATTAACAACTGTCTTCAACTTAAAATATACTTTGTCTACTTAACGAGTGTAAGCAATACGTTATATAAACTAACATATTATTTATCACAAACAAAATTAATCGCAAAACGTCGTCAATATCTATTCCTTTTTTATCGATCAATAAAAAAAATCGTAAAAATTAATATCCATGTTCTCCTATTTGTTATTGAAAATCAATTATTCAAAAATAAGTCACATATTTTCTGTTTGAATTGAAATTGTATTCAATATTGTACTATCAATGAAAAAAGTAACGACGTGAACAATGTGTGTAGCGAACAATTAAAAAATTTAGATTTTTTTTTAACACTTAATAAATTGTTGGTTTTGGTTCGACCAAAGACGAATCAATCATATTTTGGGTCCCTTCGTGTCAAAAGCACTCGCTGCACGAATCGGGGGAGACTAAGAAATGTACGCGGAAGCTAAATATGATGTTAAACGTACTAACAACTCAGTCCCACTTTTATTCCCTAATGTTGTTCTCCTCCAGCAAATCGTCCGTTGCTCCCGAGTAATACTGTTCTCTGCTAATCGCCGACGCCGCCTCTGCCATCGGTGCCGTATCCCGGGGAGTAAAAAGGTATACAGTAAGCGGTAGTAGCAGCACCACAAAGCAACGGCGGATACAACAACAACAACAACAACAAGGGGTACTTGTGTGTGTGCTGCTGTGTGTTTGTATAATTATTGATTATTGCTTGCGATTTTGCAAAACAGCCGTTTCCCAAAAGAAGAGGGGGGGGGAGCAGGAAAGAAAATAACGATAAGGACGTGCAGGAGGATACGGTCGGAGGGAGGGAGAGAAACGGTGTGTGCAGGCATTATTTTTACCGCAACGAAAGTCGGAGGCGGCGGTAGTTGTATTAAAATCCCACGACAGGGACGGGCCGCCGTAGGCAGCTTCGTGTGTGCCTCGTAACCATTGGCAACCGTTCGGACGCAATCATGTGTAAAGCTAGCACATTTACAATCGGCCTGGCAAATATATATATGAGTGTGTGCCCATGTCCATGTAAGCGTAGAGGAAAACCCGCGTGTCGTATACATTATTTCTCGAGTTCCTGTGGGGACGGAGTGACGTAAAAGAAATCTCTGGGACAGAAAACGGCCACAGTGCGCCTTTATCCTTCCTCTCCTCTCTCGTTTCTTTCTTTTCGCTTATAAAGTGCTCGCGAATATATATATTTTTTTATTCGCCAATGTAAGAAAAGCAGTTGCTTTTTTATCGGACGGTCACCATGGAAAAATAGCGACGGCGAAATACTGCCGGCAAAGTTTTTTTATCCTTTCACCCTTCCGTAATATATCGTCGTTATAACCCTCTCCCCCAGGAAACATCTATACTGATCAACCATTGGTGCTCCGTATTCAAATATGGTCGTCTTAAAATCATCTGCTTGTTCGAATAGTGAATACATTACATTTTCACAATTATTATTCATCTGTAATAATCTACCATAGAATCGATCATTACTGCAATTTGTTTTTCTTTTTGTCGTGTAAAATACTTTTTATCCGTCAAAATGTATATCGAAATGTTTATTCATTACTAAAATGATATGAAAAAGGATTTAAAATAGCTATTTATTACACTTATTAGATAAAAAATAAAGTACGTAACTGAACAAAATTAATAAAATATGATTATACCTATTTAAAAATATATACATGGTCTGGTGATTTCATTGTTCATTTAGAAAATTTTATGATGATTGGTATATTTTTAGAGTTACGTTACCCAAATACAGATCTTAGGATTCTAATGGATTTACCGTGGTATCAAAAGATGATGTAAGTTATTGTGTAAATGAATTACTATTTTTTAATAGAACATTATTATCTTACAGTTTATTAAATTTTTTTAACAACTAAAAACGGTTGATTATATTAATACTTTCACCTATTAAAAAGAAGAATCTTTACTGTATGCAGACAACCCTATCATCACATTCATAGAAATTTTATAAAAAAAACACGTACAAACGAACGATTAGGTGAATTTGATACAAAACTGGCCCTTGAGACTGCTGGAGCAATTTACTGTTGATGTTAACGTTAAGCAATCAAAGCGCTTAAGATGAGAAATAAACAAAATCTGTAGCAATCTTAAATAAGAAGATCGTATTTCTATTTATAAAAACTAATAATTTGAAGATAAATTAATTTGTTGGAGCTTAAATGATAAAAGTAAGCAATATGAGTGAATAAATTTGTTTGACCCCTTATATAAATTGTGTAACTTAAATTTGAAAACTTTTACATTACCAAACTTTAAAAATAAAGAACCGATAATTTATTAATGCCAACAAAATATGTTAAAATGAATTATCCTAAAATAAAACCATACTTGGACATTTAAAAACTTTAAAATAGAAAAAAAACTGCATATTTCACATTTATTCATTTATTCATTTATTCTTATTTGTTTACACGGGTGACCGTAGATGAAAATATTGATTGTTTACCACAATTTTTATAGTCAAAGCTTAGAAATAAGAAAATCGGATAAATATCTATCAAATTAGGGATTATGAGAAGTCGAGTTTTAACCGCTGCAATTTATAAAATATTTGATATCTTAAAACTAATAAAATTTTGTTAATAATTGAAAATACGATTTGTTACAATATTCCCAATTTCTAAAATTTTTCATAAAAAATATTCACATTAGCTGAACATTTAACAGAATACAATTCAACAATTTTTATACCAACTTAACAAGCAAATCCAGTGTTCTTCTTATTGAACTATTTATATATATAAATGATAATATAGTAATAATGACGGACCACATAATGAGTATTAAACGCATACGATGTACGTATGCCAATTAGTCACGCCGAGGCAAAATTTGCATTCCCATGAAGACAAATGGACGTCGAGTGATAAAAAAAAATTCTCGTTATAACCATCGAAACATCTAACGTCTCCTCCAATCAAAAATGTGTCATTGCAAAAAACAACACGGCGAATATGTAAGCGACGGCCGCCACGGGCCGTTTTTTGATAGGCTAAAGACGTTTTTTATGTTCGTTCCGCACCGGTGGGTGGTCCGTCGCCTTTCGTTCCAGCACACAGAAATTATTAACCCGAACCGATCCGATTCGTCATTATTACCATTACCATTATTATTTTTATTATTATTACATTGTTATTACAATCACATCTCCACCTTGTGTATATTGTTGTCATTATTGAATTATATATATTATTATACCGATACACACACGCAGTCGTACTTATTTTTTTCGCCGCAGTACGTCAATTCACTCCATTTATTTGACAATTTCAATACTGTCCGAGACCGTTTTCCTTAGTTTAGATACGACAATTTCGGACGACGTTTCCGGTTAACTATTAAATCACAAACAAAACGTTAATCATTGAAACTTCCATGGAAATTGTATACAAACTTTGCATGCACTCCGAGTATATTATTCTTTTATTTGATTTGTTCGTCTTAACTAATTTCGGAATTCAGAATTCACATAATGATCACACCTAAAATAATAAATCATAGAAGTATTAGCATTTATTTTAATACGGGTGATAACACAATTAAATCTTGATATGCAACAATTTAGGAGTAAGTTATGATTGATAAAATTCATTTCACTCTTACAATAAATATAATGACTTTCATCCTTTACTTAACGTCTAAAAATTTGTTACAAAATGTCACTCATATATTTCACAAACTGATAAACAGATTCTTTCATAATACAATGAACTATAGAGCATAATTCGATATGATAAGTTCGTATATAAACGTCTGCCGATTGTATAAAATTTACACTAATATCAATTTAAGCCAACAGTGATAATCGAAACTTAATACATTCTACTCTTAGAACAATGACTTATAGTCAATTGCGGTTGGCATTTTAATCTCGAAAGCTATAAATCGCAGAATTGACATTAACCTATTAAAATTATTCTTTAGCTAAGTGATACTTTAGTTTCACTTGATAACGTTTAAATTTAATAGAAAAAATTTATCTTTTGATACTTATAAGCTCGATAGTATTTAAAAAAGAGTAATGTAAAATTTCTGTTTAATACTATCTTCATATCTACACGTGTTTTAGACGATGTATAAATTTAAATTTATAATGACATTATCTACATGTTATTAAAACATAACAGAATATAGTGTGAAAAAAATGTGACTGCAATGTTAATACCTTGTCTCGTTATGTTTTAAGGATTTAAATTTACTAAAAATTGATTTTATCGAGTAAAAAATTGTCATTTTTAAATAATTACTGTTAGGTAAAGTGTTGACTTTATTTTAAACATATTACGATATAAATTTATTGCAATTTTCAATTTACTATAATTGTTTGTAATACGTATAAATTTTATTTTTAAATATTTAAAATAATTTGCATTAATTATATTCATATTTTTTATCATTTATAGAAACTATTTAATGAGGAGCAAGATATTGGCAATTTTTTTCGCTTACTGGGATTTATTTTTAGATTATTAAAATTATGTTATGTATATAACACAGGTTTTTTTATTTAAAAACGTTTTTGATGGAGAATTTAAAAGACCTAATAAAGTGATGAAAAATGTTATTTTCTTTTCGCTTCTTTTTAAAAATAAAATTAATTTATTAATTAAATTAATAAAATTAATTTAATTTCAGAAAATACAATTTTAAACCGAGTTAAATTAGAACGCCAATTGACTATAAAATTGATTTCATCGTCATTCACATAATTTATTGGCGAGATAGAATAAAAGACAATTGTCTACAGTAGTTTTTCTATTCTAAAATGTGTTAACTACATAAAACATAATTATTCATAATAATTTAGTTTATGGGGTTTGCATTGCAAAATCTGAAATCATTAATAGGCGTCGTTATTTGTAAATATAACGTTTAATGGTTGTGGACGGTAATAATTTTTATAATTATTCTTTTGGCGCGTGTCATTTTCTACGTGTTGTTTTGTAGTTGTAAAGTTCTATAAGTGTTTAGTATCCATTGAGTTATACTCGAGAAAGACATAGTCGATAATTGATTTAAGAAACTAACGAATGAGCGAGTAAAATTAATGAACTATACTTCCGAAACGACGCGCTCAGACAGATTTGCCGATGCGAACGAAAATCGATGAGCTGAGATAGCAACGACAATTACATGTATTACTACGGCCATTACACTACGGGGCACAAGATTATTGTAATGTCCAGTGAATGGTACAGCGTATCGGCAAAATAAACGCACGAACGGATATGCCGCACGTGATCTACATTATTTTGTTTTGCTTTTTACAGATTTAACTCCATACACGTGCACCTACATTATAATGCCATTATACTTTTTTGTAGGATTCTTTCGCGTTTTCCATTCGTGACCGTTGAAAATACATATAAATAACAATATCTTTATACTAAGTAAAGTAATTGGCTATAGGAGAAAACCGAAATGGACACGTTAATTTAATATGATAGTGGTTATTATCATCATCAACAGTATTTCGTTTGCTTCTACGGCTGCAACGTTTTCTTTGCGTCTTGATCACTCCGTTTGAATGTAAAAGCGTGGAAATTATTCCACGATTGATAAAATGTTACCAACCGTCAACACACTAAGCTCGAGAATGAGGTTAACGTTATGTATTACTGTAACATTTTTGTGTATTATTAATATGAAATTTTTTTTTACCATTTCGATATGGCTTTAGGGAGCCGTCTTCGTCTTCGGTGGACAGCAGCCAGCAGTGCATGTCACTTCTTAATGCACGATACTACACCCGTGCATAACGTCATTTGTTATTATTACATTATTATATTATTATTATTGTCGATTGGTACCCATCAACGCAGCCGCGTTTAGTAAAACAGTCGACCGATTGTAATTCGAAAAGAAAAAGAAATATCCCCTTCGTCGTACAAAAACGGCGTTACGGCCGTTAAAGAATGAGAAAAAAATGTAGTAGCGTCTCAATAATAATAATAACAACAACAATGATAATATCGAGTAATAATGATATGTGTATACATATCATTATACGATCGGTGTTGGGTATATAATATTATTACTATAGTACACAAAACAAATTATTATTATTATTATAACGTTTGTCGGAACAAAACGCATAGGGAGAAATAGAGATGAGAGTCTCATAACAAATGACAAATAGGCCCTGTTCACTATACGCATACATAATATCATTATTATTCTTATTATACACGTCTCATACACTGCACGGTACCCTATTGTGTTATCAAATACCGTCAGTGTGTGATAACCCCGTCGTCACCAACGAACCGCGCCTGATTTGCCTGTCATAACTTGTAATAAGGTTATACACGGTATGTATCTTCATTTGAAAAGGGTTACACTACTGTTTACGTGTACTGCAGACGGACTGTCAAGGTTAATTAGTTCGAGTGATTGCATAGATATGCGTGCAGGGCGACCATCAGAAAAGATCCGTTCGATTCTCAATTCGACTAATTTTTTAAATAATTCTGTAGATGTCTTTTAAAAGTTACTATTAACAACAAATTTACATTTGATATAAAATCACACTTTTAGCCTAACATCAAATAAATTCTCTAACATTGATACTCTAATTAAACGATTGTTAGTCTGGACCGCTTATAATGAAATTTACTAGTTTAGAAATATATCAACCACGCTTATGCTTAATATACACACTAATAAACATAACTGGGTATTGAAAATATTTGACTCATTACATAAAAATCGTATTGCACGTTTCCGGCACTAAAACTGTAAGCATTTTAAAATTGCTACAGTTTTTGCTAATCGAACCCAAAAACTAAACATTCGGCAAGTTCCCTTGTTTTGCGATGGTTGACCCTCCTTTCGTAGACACCCTTCTTTCGACCAGTCCGTTGCCAACTCAAGGGTCAGCTGTAATTGGAATGATATTGCCGACCGGACAACACTATTTTTCCCTCGCAGATGAGGCCAATCAAGACTTTTCCTTTTGTATCTTCTCGGAACACTCGCTTAATAATAACATTACTGATATATATATACATATAGATGTACATATAAGCGTATGGTGTATAAGGTTTATAAATCTGTGATGTACTCGTATTATAGTCGCTCAGGTTTTCATATTCAGTGGATATATTTTAGTCCGAATCAGATAACAACATAAACAATCATGACTGGATATTTCAATTAATAAAATTATAAAACTATTGTTTCCAGGACACTAAGATCTCGATATCGAAAACCTATTGAAAGTTATCAAAGAACTACAAGACTTCCTTTAATCCTGATGACAAAATTCGTGTTTTTGATATCTCAACGAAACATGTGGTGTACTCTAAAATAATTTCTGCATTATGATAGATGAGAGTAAGCGAGGCGGGACAAGCGACAAGTTTTAGAATTGGTGTGTGACGAAAAGAGTGGTGGCGTTCACACAAGCACAAAAGGGATTTGCAAGAGCCGGAGGCCGAAGGGAAAGAGAGTGGGATCAGCATAATGCTTTATTCATGTGGCGTATCTCTCTGCGTTTCCCGGGACCTTTGAACTTTTCACAACGGTAAAGATGGTAGCTACGATCTGAGAATAAATACATATTGAGCGTAAAGAAATTTGTCAGAGTGACGAGGACGGTGGTGGGTGTGTTCTTTTATTCATGTAGTTATTCGTTCGCTACCGTAGTTACTATCCTTAAAAACCAACCTCGATCGATTGTTTGGAAAATAAATAAAGAATCCAGTGCACGTTAATCATTGATTGCTTCATTATAATAATAATAATAATAATTACTCATGTTAATCATATTTTAAACTCCTAACGAAAAGACAAAATTTTGCTGCATAATAATTACTTATATTTAAATAATAAAAGTACTCCGGATTTACAGCCGCAAAATTGTGTTTTTTGTTAAGTACACAAAAATAATTTAGAGAAAAGTAAAGTATTTAACAATCAAACAGTTTATCGTTCGAGTAACAAAAGTTAAAAATTAATTTTATCTAATTAATATTTAAGAACATTTAAGGGAACTCTATAAGCTACTTTCATTAATTTGTCAATACATAGACAAGCTATCTAGTTGAATATTTTGGAACTAACTCAACAGATGGATTGAGAAGACAAAAAAATATCAGTTGACATTTAAATAACTATACAATTTAGTATAGATTTGTTTATTTTTTTGTTTCAAAATAAAATTATTTAAAGATAAATAAATCTAAGTTTTAATGGAATCTGTTATTTGACATACTTTTATGTAATAGTAAAAGTTTTTATAAAACCATTATGTTTTTATTTTCTTAATTTTATAGTAATTATTCGTTTTTATAAAATATGAAAAGATATTTTTAAACTTTAGTTTAAAACAATCTATAATTTCATTTGATATCTAGAAAAAAATGTTGTATTGCTAATTAATAATTGAAGCGATAAAAAGTAATAATAAAATGAAAAACTTTGAAGCAATCATAAATAAGTCATCATTTGTGTAATTTTTCAGAAATTAAGTTTCATCGCT